CCAGAATATATTAAGAACTCTTATTATTCAATAATAAGAAAATTCAATTAAAAAGAAAGCAAAATATTTAAACAGACATTTTACCGGGAAGATATACAATTGGCCCAAAAGCACATAAAAAGATGCTTAACATCATTAGCTATCAGAGAAATGCACATCAAAGCCATGAGATATCACTTCACATTCACTAGGATGGCTATAATTAAAAACTCAGATAATCACAAGTGTTGACAAGAAATCAGAACCCTCCTCCATTGTGGGTAGAAATGCAAGATGGCACAACTGCTTTGGAAAACAGTCTGGAAGTTTCTCAAAAAAAGTTAAAACATATGTCCATATAAAAATGTGTACACAAATGGTCACAGCAACATGTGAAAATAATCCAAATGTCTATCAACTAATGAATAAGCACAAGGTGACAGTGCTACACAATGGAATACTATGCAGCAATAAAAAGCAAATTATTGATACATGATACAAGAATGAACCTCAAAGACATTGCTAAGTAAAAGAAACCAGAGGCAAAATACCCCTATTGTCTGATTCCACTTCAAGACAGTATCCAGAAAAGGCAAATCAGGACTGAAAGTGATCAGTAGTTGCCTGAGCACTGAGCATGAGAACAGGCCTGAATTGAAAATAGGCACAATAGATCTTTTTGAGGTGATGACAATTTTCTAAAATTAGTTGTGATAATGATACAATTACTAAAAAATCTTCTAAAAGTGAAATGGGTGAATTTTATGATAGGCAAGTTATGCCTCCTTAAATCAGTTCAGGGGTAGGGAGGGAAACAGGCTGGGGATTCAAGTCCTGGCTCTATTCTTACCAGCTGTGTCACTAGGGGAAAGTTACCTAAACTTTGTGCTTAGTTTTCTCATCTGTGAACTGGGAATTATAGTAGTACACACAACATAGTTATTTTGAGAATTAAACAAACTGATACACATTAAATGCTTAGGACATCGTCAGATACATAATATGCATTCAATACTAACTATTTTTCTTACTAGGATTATTAGTATTGCTTTCATTCCATTGTCAAGTCTTGCCAATTTCATTTAGTAATCAGTTTTCAAATTAATCACTGTTTCTTCGTAGCTTCTTCCCTGGCCTTAAGCTCTGTAGCACATGGAGATAAAGGACTCCTCCTGTCTTCCTAACTAGCTCCAGACTCACTCCCTCACATCTGCCCAGCCTCCACAGCCTCAAGGACCAGAGGAAATGGAAACACAAGCATGGCAAACCCCGCCAGGGTCAGGTTCAGTAGCATACGAGGGCCTCCACATCTGGTCTCTTTGTGGGACTTCTCCCTCCTTTGCCACTTCACCCCACAAACACATCCAAGGGGCAAAACCTCACACACATACCCTGCAGCTCATGCAGCTGCTCTTGCCTTCATCCCTCTGCAGCATTTCCCCTTTCTCACTGCCTCCCGTCTACTATCCTAATCCTTTCAGGCTCTGAGGCAACTCCCTCACAAGGGCTTCCTAAGCTTTTTGAGCAGGGGTCATTCTTGGCCTTTTGTGTCCACACAAAGCCTGTGGACATCTCCACACTGAATCAAGACACAAATATTACAAACCTGTCTCAAATCTTGAAGAGTGAACACAGCACAGTTCCCTGGTACTTTTGAAGATGCTCAATAAAATGTTGACTGCTCCAATGAAGGGCTAACTAGTCAGTGTTTTCTCAGCGCTCAGGCTTCCAAATAGCTGAGCTTTTAAAAACATGTCATTTAAGGAAAGGGGGAGCCAGAGGTTGTTTAGGAAAATGGAAATCTTAAAAAGCTCTCTCTGTTTTGAAGGACTGTTAGAAATAGCAAATGAGAGTGTTACAAGGTCATACTGCCTTTCGTATGAAGTGATCCACACTATAACCAGTTCATCAGAATTTACAAAGATGGCTGGCAATCTTAATCTTTCCGGTGGAGTTTTTCCTAACTTTCCTGATGTCAGAATTTCTAAAGTCAAACTGTTAATCTGTTACTAATTTTTGAGCTCACAGTGAGAATCTTTGGAGAGATTTTTAAAGAGAGCTTAATGATTAAACTTTAAAGTTTTAGGGGGGGAAAAGTATTATCAGATGCCTGGATTCCATCCAGATAGTGTGATTTTAGTGGTCTGGGATGGGATCCCAGCAGAAAAGAAATTTTAAAGTTTACCAGATAATTCTAAAGAGAAGCAAGTGTCAAAATCCACTGTTTAGAAATCTGAAATTATTCCTTTCTCAGTTGCCTCATCTATAAGATGATGGCAGTTAGATTTATGGATAAGTAAAAGTTCTTTTGAAACTAAAATGTATCAATAGATGTTACAGAGATTCCTTTCTCCTATTCTCAAAAACTTGGGTCATCTTAAAAGTAAAGTTTGGCTGGGTGCAAGGGCGCACATCTATAATCCCAGTGACTTGGGGCTGAGGATTGAGGATCACAAATTCGAGGCCAGCCTCAGCAACTTAGCAAGACCCTGTCTCAAAAGAAAAAAGAAAAGCCCTGGGAATGTGGGAATGCGGATCAGTGGCAAAAACCAACCAACCAACCAACCAACCAATAAGTAAAGTTTGACCCCTTCTATTTGGCCAATAAGCATTACTATCCTTATTTACAGACATTTAAAATCTACTAAAGGACAATTTAAAGCAAAACAAACAAACAAAAAAACCCAAATCCTCAAACCATAATCATTAATTAATAATATTAAGATGCGTCACACCATCAAATGCATACTAAAATAAAAGCGTGTTTCTAAAAGGTAACTCAGAATAATAATCTGATTTCAGATGAGGAAGCTGGAGGTCCTCTATGAATAAATCTGTATTTGTAGACATGGCATGTTTTTCTCTCATCATGAAAGTGAAAGGAAAACAGATCTCAACAAACTACTGACTAGGTACAGTTTTTGTGCTTACATTATAAAAGGATCCAAGAAATTTGAAGCCATTACAACTATGCAAGTCTACCTTAAAGTTACACTGAGTAGACACAATTTAGTGTTAGAATCTCCTCAAAATTAAAATAGAATGTTAAATAATTACATCTTTTTTTCCAAAAATGTCCTTTGGACTGAAGGAAACTCTTTGCATGCTTTCAAAAATTTTCAATATCTGCATTAAGAAGCTTTCCATTTTTAAATAATTCTATTAAAAAAAAGGAATTCAATTTTTAAAACCCTTTGAGGTCCTGAATATAGTTTCTTTAACTTCTCAAACTAAATATAATACACACATAAATAATAAATAAAAATAAAAACAATACCAAAATTCTTATTATTTTGGGCACAACTGTCATAAAGAGAATAATCAACGGAAAAATACACCATGTGCATACTATTACAGACAAAAACCAATTTTGACCCTCTTTGCCAATATTTTTTCATCTTTTATCATCATTTCATTAACTTTTATTAAAAAATAAATTTGAAAGAGTAAAACTATATAGTGGCAAAATAATTTCAAATTAAATTCTGCTTAAAAAATGAACATAGCTACATTTGGTAAGAGGGAAGACTAGAAATAATATTGTAATGTCATTAAATAAGGGAAAGATGATGTCATTCTAAATACAGTCTTACTGGAAATTAATAAAACATAAAACACAGAATTGTAACATACACAATTAATGTGGTGAACACTGGGCAACATCTCTCAATTAGAAAAGTAGCCTTAGAAGCATCAGGAATGCAGCTCTTTTGCCATATTAAAAAAATGCACATAGAAGACACAAAACAAAAAATACTTATTACTTTTAGCATGTTAAAAACAATCACATCAAAAAAGTATACAGATAAAAAATGTCATAGATGACATAAGAAAATAGTGTGTGTGTGCGCATATATATATTTTTGCATATATATATAAACTCTACAGTATTTACCACTGTTGATTATATATATATATATATGAGCAGCTTGGGTGCTCTCATAAACTAAATTGTACAGCTTGGTTCATTATAAGTCACAGAATCATAGTTTAAAAATTTGAATTACTATCCTCAGCACATTTTTATACACATTTATTTCTCAGCTTCCACATGATCTAAATCAAGAACCTGTTATTTTATCAGGAGTTTGAGCTCCAGTGTAGTGTTCAGCTTTTATACACTGCATTTGTTTTGCCATTTAAAAACATCATTACCAGGTTGATTAAAATTACATTAGACTCATTATATACATAAAAATATTGTCACATTCACTAGCTAAACAAATGTTATTTGCATTTTAAGACACACTTTTGTACCTCAAAAGCTTAAAGCCCCAACTTGCAACAGGAAGAGCCATCTATGTTAGATTTTCTAACTTTTTGTTTTCTAATATGAGCACAATAATGTTGAAAACAAGTACTCCAATTAAAAACAAAGTTCTATTTTCTTGGAGTGCCCAAAATTTTGTGTTTCGGTAATTGTAGTGTAATAGAATTATTTTTAAAGATATCACTGATTGTTTTAAACCATGAACCTGAATTTTTTTCACAGAAAAAGAAAAAATAGTTTTGAAAGTTTGAAAGTCACACTATATTTTTTAAAAAGATCAAGATCTGAGATGCCTATTAATAGTTAGAATCATCTTTTTTACAATTTTAATATGAATAACATAATGGCCTGATAACTGCAGCAATATCCATTGATTACATTCTTTAAAGAAAATGTCAGAAAATGATCATGTAAACAACTGCCTTGGGCTCTTCAAGGTGAGGCCCTGCAAGAATTTAAGAGGCAGAATTGAGAAGTAACCAGACCATTAATACTTCTTTCAAATGAACTTCAAAGGCCTTTCACCTTGTTCCTCCAGTGCTGCATGGTCACTAAGTTGCAACTTCTCCTGCAGCATTCCTGGTATCTGGCAAGGAACAGCATGCTCTGAGCATTCCAAAAGAAAGAGCAGAGCCAGGTGCAAAAAAGCACTTAAGAATCATCTGGGGGAAATGGATACAAGGAGAGTTGTGCCTTTGGCCATAAACTTACCTACCTGCTCCAACTTTTAAGCACCAGTATGTGGTCAGCCTTTCTCTCCCATGTCTTTAATTTTCAGATTGAAAGAAAATGGCAGCCATTGAAGGATAACAATGAGCATTCTGTGAGACACTATATTAACAAAGTCAGGGAAAACTCTAATTTTAGTCAGTTTAGGTCCCAGGTTAAAAACATGGGGGGTGGGGGGGTAGAACTAGACTAAAAGACAAGAAAAAGAAAAATATAATATTATTCCATGGATCTAGATTAAAAGTCGTTTTTAAAAAAAGTTTTTTTTTTCTTCAGGTCTGTATTCAAATGTGTTATGTATAGGTGCCAATAATATCTATTAAACGACATATTATATGTAGCCTTAAAAAACATCTGTTCTAGGGTTTCCTCAGTGGTTTGTTAACATTAGCTAAAACAGAATGGGCCAAAAGAATAAAATGTCAGTTTTTGGAGAAAGATATAAATGAAACTGAGTAAAGGATTATTATTGTGTGTGTACCCCTAAATGCTATTGCTATGTTTCCAGGTTAAATTCTTTAACAGGTTCAGTGATGATGCAATTTAAAATGCTCATCTTAAGCAGCATCTACATGTGGGATGAAAACTTCTACATATTATTATTACTAATATACATCAGAATTCTGCGAGTTGTTTCCAAGAGTATAAAATACTGCTTTGGCAATTACAAACATAGCAATGCAGGTTTCATATGGTTTCTATTCTCGTCTTTTGCCAAGTATACATATATTCTCACAGCAATACTGATTCTTGAACAGAAAGCCCCTCCCGCTTTCTGTAGTGATATGCTGGAGGTGAAGGCCCTGCATACTGATACCCAGCTGAACTGGCATCTTCTACAGCTGGTGAAGTTTTATACCGCACTGGACTATCTACTGAAACTGCTGGGAGATTATGGTCCTGAAAGGGTACGTGTTGAAAGGCTGAATATTTTGGTAAATTGCTTAAGTGGCTACGGTTAGCATCTCGGGTCCATGATTGTCCATGCATCTCAGGTCTGTATGAATAACTAATTTCTGACCATTTTCTGTTATCTGGCAAATAATCCACTGGAGGAATGATGAATTTTCCATTCTTTGGTGACCCTGAATTGCTTGAGTATCCCCCAGCACCAATATCAACAGGAAGGACTTCTATTCGATTGGATGGTAGAACAAGAGGTGTTGGGCGGCTGTAAGATTTCTCTGGAGAAATATCAACTGACAGAGTAGAACCGAAAGGTCTTCGGGAAGGATGAATTTGAGTCCCAGGGCTGATCTGTGGAGGTACAAAGCTGCTGTTAGCAGTGAAGATGTGTCTTGGAGAATTTCCATGGTAAATAGGGGGGTTGCTGTAGGAAGGTGGGTGCACAGTCCCTCGATCTTCCCCTTCTACCTGGGATTGATGTCTTGTATAGCCTGGAGGCTGTACTTTAAAAGTAAACTTGTTGGATACTTTTGATGGACTAGAACCTGGCTCAACATGCTTTCGTGGACTGTTAGAGTAAACAATGTTCCTTGGACTATGAGAGTAAGCCCTTTCTAGTGCTTCTTCAGCAGAAGTTCCATTTTCATTCTCACCACCAGGTACGTTATCATACTGGGATGCATTGGAGCCTCGCTTCCCATCATCAGCATCCAAAACCTTCATCTTTTGCCTTGTGTTTGATATCCGAGGATCAGTAGAATTTGGGATGGTGACTGCAAGTGTAGGGTGCACCGATCTACCTTCAATGGCATATTTGGCAGTCCTTTCAATAGCTGAAGTATCTGAGGGTTTATTCCATTTGGGCATAAATTCCTTTCTGATATTTGAAGTAGCATTGCTATTTTGGTTAGCAGCTGCATGGTTATACTGCTCAGAATTGTCTTGTGGACCTGATGCAAGTTTTCTTTGAAAAGCTGCCTCATTAAGATTTTTACTATCCTCATCCACGGACTTCTGCCGGAGCTGCCTGACTCTTTCTGGAGTACCAGTTCTACTCTGATGGTGGGGTGAGTGCTCATGCTTTTTGGAAGGCGATGATCCACTTTCTCTTCTGCTGCTTATATGGGGACTGGGCCTGCCAACACTTCTTTGTCCATTGCTCAGGTGATTAATGCCAGTGGAGTGACATTCAGGTGGAAGATGCCCCAAAGGTTTCTTTGGATATTCATCCTCTTTACCTAAAGGGAAAGATAAATTCATAAGTAAAATAAATATCTGAGTAAATAGTATCTGATTTAAGTACACATTATTAATAATTGCATGTTTTTTATATATACATATTTTTATACCATGGAATTTTTTTAAAAAATATTTATTTATTTATTTATTTTAGTTTTCGGCGGACACAACATCTTTGCTTGTATGTGGTGCTGAGGATCGAACCCAGGCCGCACGCATGCCAGGCGAGCGCGCTACCGCTTGAGCCACATCCCCAGCCCTATACCATGGAATTTTAATGACTGTCAAGAAGTACTTTTTCTGGAAAGACCAATATTAAAACATACCAAAACTCAAGACCTTATTAGGCAATATACAGGCAGGAACAGTCTGAAACCTTGTGGACAAGATTCACACAATTGTATAACACGATTCCTGTATTTTGTTCAGACATATTGTTACATGTTTTTTCCAGGAATGCAAAGCTGATGTTCTATTTCCATTCCTGACACAATCCTGCAGAGTCAGTAATTCAGTGTCTTAATATTACATTACTTTAATCTATCTCAACTAAAATGGTTTCCAAATCTCAGTAAATTTCCCAGGCTGGGGTTGTGGCTCAGTGGTAAAGCACTTGTGCCTAGCACGTGCAAGGCACTGGGTTCAATTCTCAGCACCACATAAAAATAAATAAAATAAAGGTATTGTGTCCAATTACAACTAAAAAAAAAATACTTTAAAAACAAACAAACCAACAACAA